TCCTTCTTGACCCAGATGAGTCTTTGTGGATGTATAACCGACAAGTACCAATCCTAAGCTGACAATTTGTTGAGGGGATGACTATGTTCAGTGAAGTAGTGCTCGTTTAAAATGATCGTGATCAGTGATCAGTCGATCAGTCGAACGAAAATCGATAACAGAGAAGACTCGGATGGGGATGCTTAACAAAGATGAATCTTTGTGGATTTTTAACCCACAAATACCGGAAGTTCTACTCAGCCAAAAACTTGCCTAATAGCTCATTTTGTAGCCAATTTGATGTAGTTTCTTAAAGTAAAGCCATCTAAAACAATTTTTCGTTAAAAGTAGGAGAAAGAGGGCGAGGAACAAATTCAGGGGAACTCTCAAATGTGAAAACAGCGACCGAGTTCAACTGAAGTCGTTCCTCGCCCTCTTTCTCCTAGCTTTGAAAAACAAATGTTCAATATAGCTTTACTTTAAGAAACTACATCAAATTGGCTACAAAATGAGCTATTAGGCAAGTTTTTTAGCTGAGTAGAAAATTTTTATAGCCACCCAAAGTTTAGGTTCAAAAACCTAAACTTTGGGGGCTCAAAAAATTTTCTACTGAACCAAATGAGCTAATTTCAAAAATTTATTATAAAATATATGTATTATGAACATTTTTGTGTGGGTGACTTTTTGATTGGATGCCCGGAAATACCCTCATTCGTTAGCGGCTGAATTTAAGCTATGACATATAGATAAATAAATTGTGGGTCACTTGTAGATCGGAATATTAGTTTCAATCATCAAAGCATGCTTAAAATGAAGTTTTAAAAGCTATTCAGCTGAATGCTAAAGCTATTCAGCTGTTTAGCATACAATAATAAGCAAATCTTTTAGGTTAAAACAACTCCACTTGAGCTGCGCCGAACGCTGGGTGGAGGAGATCAAAAAAGAGATAGCGTGGCAACGGCAATCAGTGCCACGAGTGGGATGAGTGATAGGTGGAGTGATAAATTGATTAAATCCAATATCCAATTCATCGAATTTCTTTTTAAACTATACAATTTTCTGTTTTTTGTGAGTACACGATAAGCTCAGCCGCCTCGTCGCGGCATGGGAGTCGACGAAGAAGAGCAAGACAGATTTTCGCTGGATCAACGGGTTTCCCATCGATCACAATCTCTTCTTATGATAGCACTAGGGAATTATCAGCGATTTTTGACTTGGATGAAGAAGATATCCCGGAAGAAGAGCCAGAGATTGAAATGGAAGCGATTCAGTCAAATGAAGAGGATGGTTGTGTTGAAGAAGAGGAAGAGAATGGGAAAAAAAGTCGACTTTTCGTGGATTGCTTGCCAAAAAACGATTCGCGGTTGTACACCGCCGAAAGTTCCGCCACCGTATCGTGAGGAAACCCCGACGTATATGAGAAAAATGAGGAAAGAATGGAGTCCGCCAAGACAACAAACAATGGAGAATTTCCAACGGTACGGATTGACTCGTGTACAAGCTTTCTTTTTGATTTTGATCCAACTATAAGTTTCTGCTGAAGCTGAAGAAACTAGGGGTGACCCAGAACAGTTAGAATAGCTATCATAATATCTATCTATTGTACTCTAGTGTGTCCTTAAAGGGGGGGAGTATTAATCGCGGCCGGGTAACCATAAAAAAAATTTTCCGGCAACCACTTGTTTTTTTATTTTAATATCGCTGATTTTATTATAAAAAGAATAAAAATAACCCGGCTAGAGTGATTTGATGGGTTTACAAATTTGATTTGAAAGTTGAAGACGCTGCAATGCTCGCGTCTGCAAGGCAAGGCTGCAAGGCTCGCGTCTGCAAGACAAGGCTACAAGGCCCGCGTCTGCAAGGCAAGGCTGCAAGGCTCGCGTCTGCAAGGCAAGGCTGCAATGCTCGCGTCTGCAAGGCAAGGCTGCAAGGCTCGCGTCTGCAAGACAAGGCTACAAGGCCCGCGTCTGCAAGGCAAGGCTGCAAGGCTCGCGTCTGCAAGGCAAGGCTGCAATGCTCGCGTCTGCAAGGCAAGGCTGCAAGGCTCGCGTCTGCAAGGTAAGTGCGAAAGTAGAGCAAAAGTCAGGCATTATCTTTTCGTTTTGTTTTCTTTAGACTTTCGCACTTAGACACTTTTGATTTTTAAGATCTCTAGATGTTCCAGATGGAGATTTTATGTTTAGATAATGCAAAAGGCCATCAAAACACCCTAAGATATCTATTAGAGTGTGTTCCTCTCGAGTAATGCGTTTTCTAAAAGACACAATTGACCACAAATGGAAAAAAGATCTAATTTTGTCAATCAAAGCGCTGAAGACGGCCTACGGTGGAGGAGATCCAGTCACTGGGCTCCAGAAGGGAGATCCAGAAGATGCGCTGGAAATTGATAAGATAGGGAAGCCGATTTGAGGAACTGCTGTACTTGAAAGTGAAGATGAAAGTGAACAAGAAGAAGAATTATAGATTAACAACTTATTTTTATTGTTTTTTGTGCTTTTTATTTTGTTTTTAAATTTATCTGCAATTAAAACTCAATCGATCTAGACTGTGCTGAGGTGTCTGATGAGTGGCGATCTTGTTTTTCTCCAAGCCTTGCAACGTCTCCAAAAATTTGTAAACCCATCAAAAACCAAAAGTGTCTAAGTGCGAAAGTCTAAAGAAAACAAAACGAAAGATAATGCCTGACTTTTGCTCTACTTTCGCACTTACCTTGTAGATGAGCCTTGTAGATGAGCCAAGCGAGCCTTGCAGCGTCTCCAACCATCAAATCTGTTCAATCTACTTTTGCACTTACCTTGTAGATGAACTACGCGAGCCTTGCAGCGTCTCCAACCATCAAATCTGTTCAATCTACTTTTGCACTTACCTTGTAGATGAACTATGCGAGCCTTGCAGCGTCTTCAACCATCAAATCTGTTCAATCTACTTTTGCACTTACCTTGTAGATGAACTATGCGAGCCTTGCAGCGTCTTCAACCATCAAATCTGTTCAATCTACTTTTGCACTGACCTTGTAGATGAACTACGCGAGCCTTGCAGCGTCTTCAGCCATCAAATCTGTTCAATCTACTTTTGCACTTACCTTGTAGATGAACTATGCGAGCCTTGCAGCGTCTTCAACCATCAAATCAAATCAAATTTGTCCCATCACCCATCAAATCACTCTAGCCGGGTTATTTTTATTCTTTTTATAATAAAATCAGCGATATTAAAATAAAAAACAAGTGGTTGCCGTCAAAAAAAATTTTTATGGTCATCCGGCCGTTATACTCCCCCTTTAAAGCTTTCGTTACTTCTTTTTTGCATTTGTTTCTGTATTTTCATTTAACTTACCTATATGAGGTAAGTTGAATGCCTAACACATCCTTTATAGCATCACAAAATTGCCGTAAAAGAAGTGAACAACTAAGCGCACTAGAAATGAGGTGTTTAAACACTTCGAGCACAAAGTACGGCAAGTCAGGTAGCTGAACTAGTTACCTAACCTAAGCCTAAGCTTAAAGGAAAAGTTTGCGAGCAATAAGCAGTTAGAATAGCTATCATAGCTAGTTAGAATAGCTAGCATAGCTATCTATTGTACTCTAGTGTGTCCTTAAAGCTTTAGTTGCTTCTTTTTTGCATTCGTTTCTGCATTTTCATCAAACTTACGCTTAAACTCAACCCCTAAAAAGTTCTATTTAAAAAATTTTTCAAATCTTTTCATGCATGAGTCAATCTGTATCGGCTGGACACTTTTCCACCAATTCATTCGCTTTAATTTTTAGCGTCTTCGACAGTGATCACAGTCAGACTGAAGCAAGTGGACAACATTTGAAATTAAAGGGACAAATGATGCTTTCATGCACGGGGAAACACATCATTTATTTGTGTTCACCGTATGTGACGAGTATCCCAGAATTGCTCTCATTTGGTGGGTTTTTAAAGAGGAATCTAGAGAAATTCTGAAAAATTCTGAAAGTCTACAAGTAACTATAAGTTTATTTTGATAAAATAGATTAGTTTTGTAAGCAGTAATCAAACAAATAGTTGATACTTTACGACAGAATCGACAGAACACCACAGAATCGGTTTCTGTCGTCAGAATCCGATCATAAATTGTCTTGTGGTCGGATTCTGACGGCTGAAACTGATCCTGTCGTGTGGTCGGATTCTGTCGTAACAGATATATCTAAAAGAGCATGACAGTGACGCTAACATGTTATATATTTACTCTACTAGCTGAATTCTCTTATTAAATCCCTTTGAAATGAGCAGTTCAGGTCTAGGGCTAGACCTGAACTGAACTAGACTCCGGGGCTAGGGTTAGACCTAGAACCAGAAAAGAACCAGTACAGGCCAAATCCCAGATCCATTTTGAATTTGACTAGGATCAGGCCACAGGCTAAGCCTGGCTTGACCTGGCCAGCTGATCCTGGGTCAACTCACCGCCAACTGACTCTGGGTCAACTGCCCCTGGGCCAACTGACGGCCAACTGATCCTGGGCAACTGACGGTCAACTGATCCTGGGTCAACTGACGGTCAACTGATCCTGGACCAACTGACGGCCAACTGATCCTGGGTCAACTGACGGCCAACTGATCCTGGGTCAACTGACGGCCAACTGATCCTGGGTCAACTGACGGCCAACTGATCCTGGGCCAACTGATCCTGGGCCAACTGACGGCCAACTGATCCTGGGCCAACTAATCCTGGGCCAACTGACGGCCAACTGATCCTGGGCCAACTAATCCTGGGCCAACTGACGGCCAACTGATCCTGGGCCAACTGACGGCCAACTGATCCTGGAGCCAACTAATCCTGGGCCAACTGACGGCCAACTGATCCTGGGCCAACTAATCCTGGGCCAACTGACGGCCAACTGATCCTGGGCCAACTAATCCTGGGCCAACTGACGGCCAACTGATCCTGGGCCAACTGACGGCCAACTGACCTTGTCATATAGATTCTTTCAGCACCATCTCGTGTTGTTAATGATAAACAAAAACTTTTCAAAGCCAGCACAGTCTTATCGACTCTAGGAATGCGTCTGACTGCAATGCCCCTTCACGATGCTACAAGAGATCTCATTCTTCTCAATCAACAACGTCTTTCCGATGTTGAGCTGAAGTAGGAAACCTCATAATCAGTTTTAGTTTGTAAAAGTTTCAAATTCTAAAAATACACATTACGATAGCGTCTTCAATTGTTTAAGGAAAACAATTGAAACTCGAAATCTCAAAGAATTTCCTTTCAGCCTCCAACTCGAGGCCAACAATGAACAACTTGAAATTTTGGCGAAAGATCTTGAGCTAGAAAAAGGGAAAACCGATGCTCTGCTGTCTGAAATGTTACCAGCATCAGTGGCTCAGCAATTGAAGAGTGGAATGAGTGTGGATGCAAGTAAGAGTTGAAGAATGAATTTCAGAAAGTTTTTGTTTCTAGGAGAATACCAAGAAGCGACGGTGATGTTCTGTGATGTGCCCTCATTTCAACAAATCGTTCCCCATTGTGCTCCGAAAGATGTGGTGATGTTGTTGAATGATCTCTTCACGAAATTCGATCGATTGGTCATCTTGCAAAAGGTTTATTTGAATATTACAATTATTGAAATCTATTGGGTTGGTGAATTGAAAAAACTGCTGCTTGACTGCTTCTTCTGAATCGAAGTGTTCTCCTGCAAGCTCACTCATGGCCCGGAATAAATAGTCATCAGAAGGGGCGGACTGTATAGGGTATGCGCCAAAAGTTCCCAACAAGGCTATTTATTTTAGAGGGAGTCAGTTTTGCAACATGAGGGCGCGCGTTGTCGTGGATGAGAACGATCTTTGACTTTGAGGGATAATTCTTCTTCAGGGATTCATTCACCCTTCTCAACTGTTCACTGTATTTGATTGCATTAATGGTCTTGCTATCCAGCAACTCCCAGTACACCACTCCCTCCATATCCCAGAAAATGCAGAGCATAAACTTCTTCTGGTGCAAATCGGGCTTAGGGTCACTTTCGGGTTTCTCGCCTGGCCCCACCCATTGTCACTTCCTCTGAAAGTTCACAGATAAAACCCATTTCTCATCTCCTGTCACAATTCGAGGAAGAAAGGATTTCCTTTCGACATCTCTCACGGAAGAAGAAAGGACATCTCTCACGGAAGAAGAAAGGACATCTCTCACGATGCACTGATCGAGGCGCGCTGCCTCTTCTGAGGATCATTGAGGTCATGGGGCACCCATGGGTCAACTTCGAGCACCCAAGCCCCAACTTTCGATTGGAACTTGGAGCACCCAAGCCAAAATCCTACTAAGAAGGATTTTGGTTTGTGTGTGAGACTCAAAAATGGAGGACTGGAGATGTCCCAGTTTGATCACTTTCCTCAAAAAGAAACCTATTTTGGTGTCAATAGAAAAGTTGTAGAGAATCAAAAATTAGGCTTATAGCCAAATTTCCAAAAAGATACACTTAGTAGTTTCGCTTAAAATGCAAGTTTTGTGAAAATTCGTAAATTTGGCATTTCTTGAAAACCAGTTTTTGAATCGTTCTGAAAATTTGGATATAAGCTTGATTTTGATTCTCTACAACATTTCCATTGACACCAAAATGGGTTTCTTTGAAGAAGTGCTCAAACTGTCACATATGACAATAGCCGGCGGGTTTTCCATTCTCAGACCCAATAGATTGAGATTAGCCTTGATTTGAGGAGAAGTCAATGTCGAATTTGAAGATTCGTAAACGGCCAGAAGAGATTGTGGAGCAGAGAGGGAAGGGACTTATGTAAAAAGCCCTGCGCCAGACGACAAGCGATTACGCGGCCGCACAAAGAACACACAGAACACACAAATTTTAAAGGGAACTACTAGGTGTATCTTTTTGGAAAATTGGATATAAGCTTGATTTTTGATTCTCTACAACATTTCCATTGACACCAAAATGGGTTTCTTCTGAAGAAAGTGCTCAAACTGTCACATATGACAATAGCCGGCAGTTTTCAATTCACCAACCCAATAAAATGGCACAGAAAATGTATAAAAGTTTCCTACGTCTGGGGCTGGACATGAGCTTTGACTTGTTCTAGATCCAATCTAACCTGGCTCATCTTGCAAAAGGTTGATTTAAATATTATAATTATTGAATTATTGAATTCAATTATTGGATTGAATTATTAAAATCTAATAGATTCATAAAGAAACTTTTCAAAGTTTGTTTGTTTGTTTCTTTAAAGAAAAAGGGAATAAAGAATAAAATAAAGCTTTCTAATAAAGCTATTCATTAAAAAACATTGTTTATTAAATAAAAATGAAAGAAAGAGGATAAAAGAGTTCAAAGTTGCTAAGTTTTTCAATTTTAAACTAGGCTTAGGCTCTTTCAAGAGGCTTAGGCTCTAAACCTTTAACGAGGATCAATGAGAGGGCAAGTCTGGTGCCAGCAGTCTAGTGCCAGCAGTCTGGTGACAGCAGTCTGGTGCCAGCAGTCTGGTCAGCAGTCTGGTGCCAACAGCCGCGGTAATTCCAGCTCTCAAAGTGTATGTCATTATTGCTGCGGTTAAAAAGCTCGTAGTTGGATCTGAGCCTTTGGATACGGTTCACCGCTGTGTGATACTGGATCCGGGGTTAAATTCGTCGGTTCTCCGGCGAGATTCGATTTTCCAGGTTAAAACCTAAATTTAAACAATGTTTAATGGTTTCTATTGCTTAAATCAATATGAAATTGATTTTATATCCTTTTAAAACAATTCTGAGCACAATTTCGATCGAAAATTCAGCTTAAATGCATAAAAATTTCGAATTTTTCGCTTTTTAATTGAAAATTTCATTATTTTAGAAGAAAAAGTTCGATTTTAGTGAAAAAATGATAAGATTCGTGAATAAAGAAGCTTTCTAATAAAGCTATTCATTAAAAAACATTATTTACTAGATAAAATAAAAGAATAAAAGAGTTCAAAGTTGCTAAGTTTTTCAATTTTAAACTAAAGCTCTTTCAAGATCCGATTTCCCAGGTTAAAACCTAAATTTAAACAATGTTTAATGGTTTCTATTTCTTTAAATCAACATAGAATTGATTTTATATCCTTTTAAAACAATTCTGAGCACAATTTCGATCAAAAATTCAGCTTAAATGCATAAAAATTTTAACATTTGAATGAAAATTTGAAATTTTTCGCTTTTTAATTGAAAATTTCATTATTTTGAAAGAAAAAGTTCGATTTTAGTGAAGTGAATTGCTTTTATATCCTTTTTAAAACAATTCCTGAACACAAATTCGAAAGAGAAGCTAGTTTAAATGCATAAAGTTTTAAAAATTTTGTTTTTTAATTGAAAATTTCATTATTTTAGAAGAAAAGTTCGATTTTAGTGAAAAAATGATAAGCTTCGTGAATAAAGGGCTTTCTAATAAAGCTATTCATTAAAAAACATTGTTTATTAAATAAAAATGAAAGAAAAGAGGATAAAAGAGTTCAAAGTTGCTAAGTTTTTCAATTTTAAACTAGGCTTAGGCTCTAGAGCTCTTTCAAGATCCGATTTCCCAGATTAAAACCTAAATTTAAACAATGTTTAATGGTTTCTATTGCTTAAATCAATATGAAATTGATTTTATGTCTTTTTTTGGGGGTGGGACAAAATGCTACCTTTTTTTGCGCACCTGGACACTTGCGCACCTTGTGATCGAACTCTCGATCCTCACACACGTCAGTTAAAGGTTTTAAATTCTATAAGGTGCCCTTGGGAACGTACGTAACCGTTGACTAAGTAACTTTTGCACAAATAAAAGGCTATAAAAGGTTTCCTATCTTATTCCGTTGGTCTTTTCTTTCATTTGAGTCTTCTTGATTCATTTTTTGCTCTTGATCAAGTGATTATTTCTTTCGCATTCCCTTTTGCAAGTGGTTCGTGTTCTCATTTATTAAGTGATTGTTTTCATTCATTTCTCAGTGAGTGTTTTATTCGTGGTTTTTTGTACGTGGTGTTGTTAACGTGGAACGTAGTGTTTTGCGTGGTGATTCAGGTGTTAAATAAAGTCTTGTTTCTTTCACAGAAGCAGACATAAACCACATTGAGACTCCACAGAAGATAAAGCACGTTACACTATATCCTCATTTAGTTCATATACCGGGTTTTTGGTGGAAAAGGCCTTAGGAAAGGTCGTAGAGCTTCGAAAATATTCCATATAAGGGAATCGTATGCGTAGATTCCGAATTTCGACAAATCAGACCTTGCTGACAAATCAAATTTGGGCTAAAAGGCAAAAACTACGCAACTTAACGCTTTTCCGCAGTTTTTGCCTTTTAGCCCAAATTTGACTTGTCAGCAAGGTCTGATTTGTCGAAATTCGGAATCTACGCATACGATTCCCTTATATGGAACTATTTTCGAAGCTCGACGACCTTTCCTAAGGCCTTTTCCAGCAAAAACAAGGTGCGCAAATGTCCAGGTGCGCAAGTGTCCAGGTGCGCAAAAAAGGACGCATTTGTCCCATCCCCGTCTTTTTAAACAATTCTGAACCCAATTTCAATCGAAAATTCAGCTTAAATGCATAAAAATTTCAAAATTTTGCTTTTTAATTGAAAATTTTTTTATTTCAAAAGAAAAAGTTCAATTTTATTCAAAAAAAAATGGACAAAAATGTACAAAAATGTGGCAAATGGATAAGATTCGATTGATAAAATGATAAAATTCACATATGATTCCTCGTTTTTTCTATCCACGGTAGATCTTGATTCAATTTCGTCCAAAAGTAGGGCGAGAAAGCGATTTGTGGCACCATTGCATAGGTTTTTAGCGCTTTTTTTTCTTTCATTTCATCGATTTTCGAAAATACGAAAGAAAATACGAAAGAAAATAGTAAAAAAAGAAAATAAAAGAATAGATCGAGAATTCATCTTCCAACAATTGAAAAGAATGCTAAAAAATCGAAAAGAAACATTTTCTATTTGTCTCATTTCTCTATGTATTCTTTTTCTTTTCTTTTCTTTGCTCCTTTTCTTTTTTTATCAATCTTTTGCCTTTTCTATTGATGAAAATTGATGTCGCGAAAGGGGAAAATTGAGAAAATTGAGAAAATTGAGAGAATTTGTGATATATAACTGTTCTAAGCCTTTTCATGGATGGGTGGACCCCGCAAAATCTCTCGGGGTCATGAGATCATTGCAAACGATCTCTACTAGACGGAACTTTTTCTTGGGAAATAAACAAGATAAGATATTGAAGGCTTAAAGCAGTAGTAAAGCTTGAAACCTAAAGTAAAGCAGTAAAGCACTTAAGCAGTAAAGCAAGCAAGACTACAACTTACCAGTCTTGCCTTTACTTACTAATTGACAAGCTTTATGGATATAGCTGCTTACATTTCGTCAATCAATTTATCTACGGCTTATGAAGCTGAGAGGCTTATGAAGCTGAGAGGCTTATGACGCTGAGAGGCTTATGACGCTGAGAGGCTTATGACGCTGAGAGGCTTATGACGCTGAGAGGCTTATGACGCTGAGAGGCTTATGACGCTGAGAGGCTTATGACGCTGAGAGGCTTATGACGCTGAGAGGCTTATGATGCTGAGAGGCTTATGATGCTGAGAGGCTTATGATGCTGAGAGGCTTATGATGCTGAGAGGCTTATGATGCTGAGAGGCTTATGATGCTGAGAGGTAGGGGTAGGGCCTTATCCCTCACTAGGGCAAAATAACAAGAATGTCATGGCTTCGGTCGGTTGTTCTTTGCGCTCCAAGGTAAACTAAATCGATCTGGCACACCGAAATCCCAATTTTTCTCGCGATACCAAGCTGCGGGAAAAATGAGGAATTCGGTGTGCCAGATCGATTTAGTTTACGTTGGAGCGCAAAGAACTACTAGACATTACTGTGAGGGATAAGGCCCTACCTTGGCGGCAGAGGTACATGTCGTTGTGGCTCATTGGTAAAGCGTTCGCCTAGTGATCGAGAGCTCGCGGTTTCGAATCCCCGAGAACAACAAAGCCATGTCTACTAGACTTCTTGTGTTATTTTGCCCTAGTGAGAGATAAGGCCCTACCTTGGCGGCGGAGGCACATGTCGTTGTGGCTCATTGGTAAAGCGTTCGCCTAGTGATCGAGAGGTCGCGGGTTCGAATCCCGGTGGGTCATTTTTTTGTATTCCTAGCTTCAAAAGGATAGATACTTATACTGGAAACATTTGAAGCTTAAAATTGCGTTGTGTCATTGAAAAAAACGATGATTGATGTGAACAAGCAGAAAGGAAAAAAGTCTAGATAAAGATTACGAAGGTTTCCCGTAATGGAAGCACTTGGAAATTCATCAAATTTCCAACTTAAAGCCGTTTTCGGACGAGAATTGATCAGCGGAATTTTGTTTTGCTCAAAATTTCTGCGCAAATTTGTAAACACACGCTTTCTAATCGAGAATTCTCCGCAAGAATGACTTGCGATTGCTAGAAAAATGAAGCAATAAGTGCACGAGAAAGAGAGAGTTTACAAAAGCTTTTATCAATCTTACGATTTCTCTATTTTCGAGCTTTCTTTTGTGTTTTTTGTGACTTTTTGTTTCAAATCTTCAAAGAGCGCCAAGTTTACCAATGCTCTAACTCTTTTTTACATTTCAACAATCGTTTTATTTACTCAAGAAGTCTCTCAAGTCTCACTTGTTCAGCGAGAACAAACGACGCGATTTTTTCCCGTTTCTCTCTTTTCTTTGCCGCCTTTTTTTTTAGGCAATGGCCAATTTCTGTTGATTTTTTCGTTTTTCATTCTTTTTTTGAAAGACTTTTGTCTCAGAATATTGACGAAAGTGAGTATAAAATGTGGATGAGGAAATTGAAGAATTCACACTCGATTCTTCACTCGAAATCTACAATGTCTACCAAGATCTTCTCGCTTTTCATTTGCTGCTTTGATTGTTGTCGGGCAAACTGAGGGTGAATTTTAGATTCTAGAGCTTTAAAAGACTATAGAATACTGTAGATGACTGTAGAAGATTGTAGAAGACTGTAGAAGACTGTAGAAGACTGTAGAAGACTGTAGAAGACTGTAGAAGACTGTAGAAGACTGTAGAAGACTGTAGAAGACTGTAGAAGACTGTAGAAGATTGTAGAAGACTGTAGAAGACTGTAGAAGACTGTAGAAGACTGTAGAAGACTGTAGAAGACTGTAGAAGACTGTAGAAGACTGTAGATGACTGTAGAAGACTGTAGAAGACTGTAGAAGACTGTAGATGACTGTAGAAGACTGTAGAAGACTGTAGAAGACTGTAGAAGACTGTAGATGACTGTAGAAGACTGTAGAAGACTGTAGAAGACTGTAGAAGACTGTAGAAGACTGTAGAAGACTGTAGAAGACTGTAGATGACTGTAGAAGACTGTAGAAGACTGTAGAAGACTGTAGATGACTGTAGAAGACTGTAGAAGACTGTAGATGACTGTAGAAGACTGTAGAAGACTGTAGAAGACTGTAGAAGACTGTAGAAGACTATAGAATGCTGTAGATTGCTGTAGATTGCTGTAGATTACTGTAGATTGCTGTAGATTGCTGTAGATTACTGTAGATGACTGTAACTTGTACTGAATAGCAATTTCTTAAAAGAAAAGTAAGCGAATTGTGGATTTAAAAAGTAAGAGACACTTAAAGATCCTCAAAGTTTCCTTAAAGATCCTCAACTTCTCTAAAGATCTTCAACTCTATCACCTACCCCTAGTGCAATAGATGCCTTGTGTTTCTAAGCAAAACTCACCTCAAAGTACACTCTTTCAGGCCTACTACCTCGCGTACAGCGCCTACGGATATCCATCAGTTTATGGAGCTCCCGTTGTCGCTTCTCCTTACGCCTATGCCTATGCCCCAGCCGCTTACGCTTTGTGGGGATCAAATAAAAGGAAAAGCAATGGATGGAGAGAAAGCCCCCAGAACAACCACCAACTTCTGGACTTACGAACAATCGACAATAGATTCGGCGAAGGATTTGTGTGTGTGTATATGCGAACAAATCGTTTTCTATTGTTTTTTTCACTCAAAGTGAATAAAGATTTCATGGTTTAATGGCTTTTTGAGGCACTGGAAATTCAAATTCAACGAAACAGAACAGAAAAATTCGTGTAACTTTGTTACAGGCTGTTTTGAAATGCTGTTTAATTGCTGTTTAATTGCCGTTTAATTGCCGTTTAATTGCCGTTTAATTGCCGTTTAATTACCGTTTAATTACCGTTTAATTTTCTTTGATCAACTTCTTATTTCCATTCCATCGAGTTTGGAAAATAAAAACTCGAAATCAAGTCGAAATTGGCATTGAGTTCAAGAGCTCAGAACCAAAAAATCCTCAACCAAAATCAAGCCAATGTCAAACTCCCAAAAGACGCCAACATTGGTTAAAGGCTTTCCGACCACAATCTTTGCCTCATTATGTTCCAAAATCCATTTCCTGCCCTGGCTTAAACCTTTGAACCAGGGTTGTAACCAGGTTCTAAGTCAGAGGAATCGCCTAGCCTAGGCTTGGGGCTTACGATAAACTGGCTAGGCACAAATATACCAATCAGAAGTCAACCAAGACCAAGCCTAAGCCAAAGCCTAAGCCTGAGCCTAAGCCAAGCCAAGCCAAAGCCCAGCCAAGCCAAAACCAAGCCTAAGCCAAGCCAAAGCTCAGCCAAAGCCCTGCCAAAGCCAAGTCAAAGCCAAGCCAAAGCCAAGCCAAAACCATAGCCAAGCCAAAGCCCAGCCAAAGCCATAGCCAAGCCAAGCCTAGCTTTAGTTTGACACAATAGATTGGGAAAGGGATTTGTGTGTATAGTACCGTATAGTACAGTACAGTACAGTACAGTACAGATAGTACAGTACAGTACAGTACAGTATAGTACAGTACAGTACAGTACAGTATAGTACAGTACAGTACAGTACAGTATAGTACAGTACAGTACAGTACAGTATAGTACAGTACAGTACAGTACAGTATAGTACAGTACAGTACAGTACAGTATGAGTACAGTACAGTACAGTACAGTATAGTACAGTACAGTACAGTACAGTATAGTACAGTACAGTACAGTACAGTATAGTACAGTACAGTACAGTACAGTACAGTATAGTACAGTACAGTACAGTACAGTATAGTACAGTACAGTACAGTACAGTATAGTACAGTACAGTACAGTACAGTATAGTACAGTACAGTACAGTATAGTACAATACAGTTACAGTATTCCTTCCAATTTTCAGGCCTACAAAGTGGAGACAGTTGGTGACAGTTATATGTCGGTTGGTGGAATCCCGGAGATCGTCGAGGCTCATTGTGAGATCATTTGCCATCTCGCGCTCGGCATGCTGTACGAGGCAAGGAATGTCACTGATCCAGTTTCCGGTGAGCAAGTAAACGAATAAAAAAAGATATTCAGTTAAAGGGGTAATCTAAACAGAAACTTTGCATTTTCGCTAACCGTTTTAGATTTTTTTGTGTTGAATTCAAGTTTTTCTATAGTTTCCTCTAAGAAATTAGGATTAAACAGTGCTCATAAATTGGAAAAGAGTCAGAGAAAAGAGTTTCCAATGAAAGTAAGCCAAAGTCAAGGTTGTAGACTAAATCCAAGCTTGAAATCCGACCAAGACAATTTTTCTTTCCTTAGCATTTCCTTGGCATAGCTTTCTCTCAATACGAGAGACTAATTTAGCTATAAATTCACAATTATATTATAGAAATTATTTATAAACATATTTATAAACAATTTATAAACAATTTATAAACAATTTATAAACAATTTATAAGTTTGGGGTTCGATCCGCTTTAACCTTATCAACGAGGATGATTCTGCTTAAGAATAGCCGAATAGCACAAAAGGTTATAGGTTATAGGTCGAATAGGTTAAAAGGGTTTCCCCCAAAAGCGCTTAAAACGTAACAAGAACACGGTAGTGTCCAACATAAGATTAATACTCTTGAGAAGAGTACAGATCGGATTAATACTACGTCGATGGTGACACAAATGTTAGCAAAACCAGTCTCTCTACAATGTTAAACCAGTTATCTAAACAGGATTTAAAACCTGAAGGGTAGCATAAAGTAAAGTGAATTTATAACGTTACTGTTTATTAGCAAGAACCGAAATGCAACAATATCCATTACAAAAACAGTATGCGCATCAAAGATTAAACAACAAAGTCCCCCAGGCAAAAAAAACCCGCTGACCAAAAAAAATAATTTCGGAAAGGGAGAAAAAGGACGAAAATCCGACGCGAATAATTGCAAAATAGCAACGCAAATAGGAAGGAAACGGACGCGGCCCTAGGTACTTTGAAGTACCGTATTGAAACCGTATTGAAACCGTATTGGAACCGTATTAGAACCGTATTAGAATCGTATTAGATCAAAATAAGAACCCTATTGGAACCCTATTGGAACCGTATTAGAATCGTATTGGAACCGTATTGGAAACGTATTGGAACCGTATTAGATCAAAATAGGAACCGTATTGGAACCGTATTGGAAACGTATTAGAACCGTATTGGAACCCTATTGGAACCCTATTGGAACTGTATTATAATCGTATTGGAACCGTATTAGAAACGTATTGGAACCGTATTGGAACCGTATTAGATCAAAATAGGAACCGTATTGTAACCGTATTGGAACCGTATTGGAACCCTATTGGAACCGTATTAGAACCGTATTGAAACCGTATTGGAACCGTATTGAAACCGTATTGGAACCGTATTGGAAACGTATTAGATCAAAATAGGAACCGTATTGTAACCGTATTGGAACCGTATTGGAACCCTATTGGAACCGTATTAGAACCGTATTGAAACCGTATTGGAACCGTATTGAAACCGTATTGGAACCGTATTGGAAACGTATTAGATCAAAATAGGAACCGTATTGTAACCGTATTGGAACCGTATTGGAACCGTATTGGAACCCTATTGGAACCGTATTAGACCCGTATTGAAACCGTATTGGAACCGTATTGAAACCGTATTGGAACCGTATTGAAACCGTATTGGAAACGTATTGGAACCGTATTAGATCAAAATAGGAACCGTATTGGAACCGTATTGGAACCGTATTGGAACCCTATTGGAACCGTATTAGAACCGTATTGAAACCGTATTGGAACCGTATTGAAACCGTATTGGAACCGTATTGGAAACGTATTGGAACCGTATTGGAACCGTATTAGATCAAAATAGGAACCGTATTGGAACCGTATTCGAATCGTATTAGAATCGTATTGGAACCGTATTGGAACCGTATTGGAAGGAAACGGACGCGACCTATAAACTATTTATAAACTATTTATAAACAATTTATAAACAATTTAGGTAAACCATTAAAAATCAGAGCTGGGATTCACTCTGGTCCCGTTGTGGCTGGAGTTGTTGGTGCTAAAATGCCAAGGTGAACTTCATTTTTCGCTTCTGATAACTAGTAATCATTGTCTTAAGTATAAAGTAATCCAATTTATTCCCGAACTTTAGATATTGTCTATTTGGAGACACAGTAAATACAGCTTCTCGAATGGAATCGCACAGTCCAGTCGGGAGAATTCATTGCAGTGAGAGTGCTGTGAAGTAAGTAAATATAAAAAGATATTCATCTATAAGATTACATTTAGATTTCATATTAGGTTGTTCGGATATAAACAAGCGTTACTAAACTTATTGTTGTGAGAGCAGCTTTTAAAAAATGTCTTTCTGTATTTAAAAGTACATTATCTTGTGCATATTTTATATATTTTCTTGTGCATATTTTACTTATCCAATAAGCCTACTTTACTCATTAATAAGCCCCTGCTTTACCTATCAATAAGCCTATTTTACGACTTCAAACTGGGCAAAACAGTAGCGGAATCCCATTGATTTGGTCAAAGCATTTAGGAATGATGTTTTGTCCGAAAGCCGATGCCGAGCTTGGCTCCAACGCTTTCGGAATGGTGATGAAAGTCCTGGAGGATCATCACGAACACTCTCGTCATGATCTCCTCGTCGACCTCAAGCGTAGACAACGATACTTTGAGGGCTGCAATCGAATCGAATGTCAAACGAACTTGCTCAACAGTTTCTATGTTCAAATTCTACTATTAATGAGCATCTCTACGCCATTGGAAAGACGATCTGATACGGGAAATGGCTTCCTCACGAGTTAAGCAGTGCAAACTAAGGCTTCACGGGTCGCTATTGCCGGAATCCTCATCCGCCACGCTAAAGATCATGGCTTTTTGATTCTCTCGTTACTGGAGATGAGGATCCGCCTGATGATACTATTCGAAAACGGAAATGACTAGACCAGGAGAACGGCCAAATCCGATCGTGAAACCGGACATTCATGGGAAAAAGGTCATGCTCTCAGTATGGTGGAATAACAAGGTCCCATCGAGCTTTGGTCAAAGCATTTAGAAATGATGTTTTGTCCGAAAGCCGATCCTGGCTCCAACGCTTTTGGAATGGTGATGAAAGTCTCGAGGATGATCTCGAGGCCGACCAGAGGAACACTCTGAGTCGTCATGGTCGACCAGAGGAACACTCTGGTCGACCATGACCTCCTCATCGACCTCAAACGGTAGACAACGACACTTTGAGGGCTGCAATCGAATCGGATCCATGTCAAACAACGCATGAACTTGCTCAACAGTTTCTATGCTCAAATTCTATTAATGAGCATCTTCATGTCATTGGAAAGACGATCAGATGCGGGAAATGGCTTCATCACGAGCCATTTCCTCGCAAGTTAAGCAGTACAAACGCTCGTTGATATCCGAAC